GTTTTTAATGGAGTACCCCATTTAATCCTCACAATGATGTGCATTAGTTTCTTTCATGGTGCCCATTTCACTGATGGGGGAACTGAGTCAATGAGAAGTTAAAGAACATGCCCAAACATTCAGAGCTATTAAGTGACGAAGCTGAGCTTCAAACCCACACATTTTCACTTCAGGGCCACTTTGTTAAACATATATCTATAATCTCCCAATGGTAGTACTATTATATATTACAGACATTAAGAATGAGGCTCAAAGAACTTGTGCAATTTATATAATTACCAGTGGAGACCATCTTCAACTCAGGTCTTTCTGATATTGAAGCTTGCACTCACAAACAGCCGATTACTTTTTAAACACAATATAAGGGTACTCGGTAACTGAGAGAGACTTGGACAGGGCTAAAGGATTTCCAATCACAATGGGGTTTCTTTATAGCCCATTGCAAAACTTGTTTGGCAGTGACATGGTTAACGGCAGTTGCTGCTCCAAAGCCCATGGTGCCTGTTATGTTCATCAAGGGATAATACCCAAGTATTGGCTGATTTGCTGTAAAAATCACTCTTCATTGCAAATTCCCTTCCATTGTAACCTGGAGGATGATGAGAAATGTTCTCAGCTCTTTTCTCCTTGTGGGTGAGTCAATAACATAGGGTTTGGAGAGGAAAGGGGTAAAGCCATTTGCCCCTTGTCAGTGCTCACTTAAAAATAGTGTTAATACTATGTTTTGAGTTAAGTACAGTATATTAAATATTTAGAGAAAGAAAAGGGGGTCTTCAGATCTATTGGATGAGTTTCCTGAATTATTCCTCAAATGTGCTGGCATAATAGATAAAAACAATTAAATGGGCAATTATAATGGTCTGGTAACACATCACAGAATTTCTCCTTGCTCTAAATACAGACTGATAGAGGTGCATCTGAGGCTCTAGGCAAATGATTCTATTCCTCTCAAAGGTAGACAAGCTGAGATGAAAAGTTTGAGAAGCAGAATGACATAGGGAGTTGCTCATTTGTGAAGACAGTTTGAAAAGACTTCTTGCAAGATGGAAGGTAGCAGAATGATGATGTGGATTGATAAACCCAGGGTAATCAAGGTTAGTTGCAAATCTTTCAAAATCTTTAAAGAATCATCTTTGAGAAAACTCCTTGCATTTTGATCATAGTAAGTAACTTTAAGACAAATATTAACAAGTATTATTTACATTCTAAGTACTTTGCAGAATACTAGGAACTCTTCAAGTCTTTCATCCACTATCATATTTTATCATCAATTGCATTGATAAAATTGGTATGCTATGAAAATTAGTACAATTTACCCATTTTCAATATTCAGTGGATGGGAAAATTGAAATCAGCATGGTTTATGTGAATATATGGATATAATTCTAGAGGAGAATCCTTTGGGAACATGAAACCCATTCTCTTATTTCATATTACTATCACGGCAGAATATTGGCTCTTAATGCTGTTGATCTGAAATCCTAATGTGGTTGCCAAAGAAAGTAGACATCCGTGTTAGGAAATTCAGCATGGTGTCCCACTTTGTTTGCTATGATGCCACAGGTTTACACCTGATGGAAATTCTCCTGACAAGCCAAAATAAGTAGTTCTAATAAGGAAGTAGCTCATAGTGTATTCTTAAAATTTTGGAAAAATAGCTCTTGCTTAAGCCCAAATTCTGTCTAAGTATTTTATCCCAGTGTTTTTGTGCTGAAGTCAGGACCAAAAACAGATGCCTTGCCTTCTCAACTGTATTCTTCTGCTTCTTAAAACTAAATCCATTCACTCAAGTGTTACTTAGAAATTGAAAAATGAAAAAATAAAATCACACAATCTCATATATACTCATGAAACTTCCTCTTCTAGACAGTCAACTTAGTGCAATATGTACAAAAACAATATTCTCCACATAGGTGAACATCTCAATGACTTTTTTTATAGGTCCATTTTCTCAAATGATAGGTTAACTAAAGTCAGGAATTCTGACTCTGCTTATACTATGGATATTCATTGAAATTGATGGGTAAAGTGAGAAATCTTTCAGTTTGTTAAAGAAATGTGTTGTGTGTTTTTTTCTCTAATTAAAATACCGATAGTGACAGTGTAGGGTGAATGTAGGATGGAGAATTCACAAAGAACATTCAGACAATTTGAATGCATGGTTCTTCCCAGTCAATGTTTTTTTTTTAACATTTCCTCAACTTATTTCACAGTTGCTCCATCAGAAACTGAATAAAAATCCATAAATTTGTATGTAGAAGAGACAATACAACTTGTCCAATTTCCTAAAGCATCAGAATTTAGCTAACTTACAGGTTACTTTATTAAAAATATTTTACTTTGTACGCTAAATTATAAGGAAAAAAATAGTGTCTTTATTATAATTACTGTATGCTTAGTGGTCTTTATTGACCTGAGGTAAGATCATTTGATAAATCCTAATGAAAGAATCTGTGCTTGTGAATGAGCGTCATTGGGGCCTCATCTCAGAGGTTAGCACCTTTTTAAAAAATTTTTATTTAAGAGTGTTCCTTTATTCTTAACTTATTACCTTTGCTTATCTTCTACGTCCTTCCTTTAATGGGCCTGCAATAGCATTGCTCACTTTTCCTTATAAAGCAGTACTATATCTTCCCATGTACTGCAGTGATTCTCAGATCTTTGTTTGGGTTAGAATCACCTGAAGGGCTTATTAAATTATCAAATGCTGGGCTTCAATTCCAGAATCCTGATTCAGTTGCTAATGCCCAGGCCCTCCTCTTATAATCCAATGCCACTAGATATAGTATATTCAGCACCAAAGAGAATATCCCCAACCCGCCAGTCAGGTACAATGCAGTTTTCTTAAGTGATTGTGTTAGCTCTAGAGGTTGTCTTTGTTCTCAACTCTCTTATTTCTATCATGATTCCAGCTATAACTGATACCTATCTCCTAGTTAACTTGTGTGCTGATAACTTGAAATTTTTCCTGATTCATCTCTATACATTCCCTACCAGTCACTCACTCACTCACTCACTCACCCACCCATGCACCTACAAATTTCTAACTGTTTTGCACCTTCTTACTGTTTTGCTTTTTCTCCATTACCCCCTCCACACAGAGCTATAACTTAAACTCTCAATCTAAAATAACACCCCTTTCTCTTTCCGCATTGTATTTTTTTACATATTTGAAATAATATAGACTCCTTATTTGAGGGACCTTATTGGTAATTTTTTAATAGTTCTATTATCAGAATCTAGAACAGTGACTAGGACAGTTTAATTCTGGAAGGATTGAAGTAGAGAATAAGAGGAAAATCAGAAGTGGCCATTACATAGGAAATTTTTAAAAATAGAAATTCATGGGTGTTTATAGTTTGCTTTGATTTAAGGATAAAGCTTGTTTCTTGAGTCTGTTGGTTAATAGCTGACATTTATCTTAAGTTACAAACAACAATGTCCAGAATATAAAATCACTGGGTCAGAATTATTTGCAGTCTTGGACTCTCCTTTTATAATCCATGAGACTTTAGCAAAGTTATATACAGTACTTGAGTTCTTAACAATTAATCTGGAAAACTGATCTGCCAACTTCTAAGGGTTTAGAGAATTTAAAATTACTTAAGTGAAAATGCTTTGTATACTCTTTGTGATACTTTAAGCAATAAAACAAATTTTTAAAAAAAGAGAGCTTTACATGAATACAATGGTAATGAATTACAACAGTAATGAATTAAATTTGCCCATGTTTACCTGCAGAAATAGGCGACAGAATTCATTATTATGTGGACCTGTTCACAAAGAGAAGAATAATGGATTGCACTGCACAAGATATATGAAAGGAAAGATGACAAAATAAAGAAAAAAAATTTCTATAAAAAAACACAAAACACCTCCAAATATATTATTAAATAAGATTCTTTAAAAATAAATTGTCCTTACTGTTGTTATTATTCCTTAATGTTCTGTATTTCTGGAAATTTCAAGAAATCTCCTTCCTCTGTTTTTTAATTAGGAAGGAAGATTTAAAGTTTTTAAATTGAATTTTCTTTATTGTGTTCTCAAAAACAAAAAGGAACAGAGAATTTAAAATGTATTAAATATAAGGAGGTAGCTGAGATGACAGGATATGAAAAGTGGGCAAAGTTCAAGGGAGACAGAAAATCTGTCAACAGTTCATTGTATTTCTCTAGACTAGAGACTACTTTACTCCCCAGTGCATCTAAGTACTGATTCATTGGCAAATACATGTCTTTTTTTCTAGTTTCTACATTCTCATCAGAATAATACTGAAGAGTAATCCATAAGTTTCAAAATACCTGTTCAATATTCTGTAAGTTAAAGAATCATTCTATTAAATGTTCCACATGACCAGGTACATTCGAGAATGAGATGTATTTATATAAATGTCTAACTTATTTTTTTCCATAGCTTTGTATTTTAAATTATATGTGTGATAAGAATTTGTATGTTTACACAGGTGGTTGAGATAAAAAGAGGGATTATTTTGTATTCTTTTAATTATGAAAGATACCTCTATGCAAAATTCTCAGATTCCCCATATTGCAGAAGAGCCTATTAAAAGGCATCTGAAAAAGAAGCTTACAGGAAGTGAGAAACCTTGATTCTGGTTCCAGATCAGGCACACTAACTATATTGGAAGCTAGAGTCCATTTCCCAAAATTTATAATGTAGCCTGGGGAACAAATCTATCTTAGTCCCTTTCAATATCTGTGTTTCAAACTCTCATTTGGGGTTAAATTGTGTTGAGTGGCTCCTGAGACAGACTTATATGTTTGCAAGATTTCTTTTAATGATTCAAATACATCTTTTTAAAAAGATTCCTTATATATGAACTAGAAAAAATACTTGAGCAGATTATAAGGCCATGATTATCAGAGTAACATTTTGGGGAATTTAATATCTTGGGTTATAGAACAGGTTTTGATAGAGAAACTCCTTTGATTCTAGGCCCTGTGAATGCACATCTGATTGGAGTACTCCCCCTCCAGGTCATCATGCCAGACTCCAACTACACCAGCACCTCCTTCTTCCTAACAGGCCTCCCAGGCCTTGAAGCTGTGCACATCTGGCTCTCCATTCCTCTGTGTGCCATGTATGTGGCATCTCTGACAGGGAACAGCCTGATCCTGTGGGTGGTGAGGTCAGAGCCCTCCCTGCACCAGCCCATGTACTACTTTCTGTCCATGCTGGCGATAACTGACCTGGGGCTATCTGCTTCCACACTGCCCTCCATGCTCACCATCTACATGCTGAGTCTCAGGGAGGTAGCCCTGGATGTATGCCTGGCCCAGCTCTTCTTCATCCACACTTTCTCCATCATGGAGTCCTCTGTGCTGCTGACCATGGCCTTTGACCGTGTTGTGGCCATCAGCAGCCCCCTGCGCTATGGCACCATCCTCACGAGTCCCCGCATTGCCAGCTTGGGCCTGGCCATCATGGTGCGCAGCATTGGTCTCCACATCCCAGCCCCCATCATGCTGAAGCAACTGCCTTACTGCCGCAATCGCCTTCTTTCCCACTCCTACTGCCTGCACCCCGATGTCATGAAGCTGGCCTGTGCTGACACCCACATCAACAGCGCCTATGGTCTCTTCGTAGTGCTCTCCACGCTGGGTGTGGACGCAGTGCTCATCGTCCTCTCCTACGGGCTGATCCTCCACACAGTGCTGTCCATTGCCTCCAAGACAGAGCGCCTCAAAGCCCTCAATACGTGTGTCTCCCACATCTGTTCTGTGCTGCTTTTCTACACACCTATGATTGGTCTGTCCATGATTCACAGATTTGGGAGGTGGGCTTCCCCATGCAGTCGTGTACTACTCTCCTATCTTCACTTTCTCACACCTCCAGTGCTCAATCCCGTGGTTTACACCATTAAGACCAAGCAGATCCGATCAAGGATGCTGCGCCTCTTCCGGTCAGATGGTGCTGGCATTAGAGACCCTCAGGATCATTAAGTCTTTTCTAGAAAGAAGGCAGGAGAAAGTTTAATCATAGTTGTGTAATGAGCCACTGAGCTTACAATGAGTCCCATAGTCAAGAGAAAAACTGGAAATAGAGACTACCATCTTCCACATGAAGTTATCATTCATGGGGAGAAGTAACCATATTCTCATTTACTAATTTTTTTATTGAACAAAGCTTTGTTTATTACCTACCCTGTTAAATGTACTGTTGTAGACCCTGGAGACAGAAATATAACTAAGATACAACCTCTGTTTTAGAGGAAAGGCTCATATCATTTAAGGCTCAAGAAGGGAAATTCTATTCTAAATGAAAAAGGAATCTAAAGAATAACTAGGAACTTTACAAATGTATAAAGATGTCCATAATGCTTTGCCTGAGAGTGCAGGAGAAAGAATTATTGGTAAATGGGGTGATGAATATTTCTGAAATACAATGATATTATGAGTATTTTTTAAAAATCCCCACTCCATTAAATAAAATACTCATGAGAAAAGGTATTATCTCTTAACTATTACATTCCCTTTTCTGAATGTAACACTTTCCATTTATTGGGTATTTGGTATGCAATTGCTGAATAAAAGAATGAATTAATGAATGAGGTTACATTTTTTAAAATATATTTTATTGATTTTTTTACAGAGAGGAAGGGAGAGGAATAGAGAGCTATAAACATCGATGAGAGAGAAACATCGATCAGCTGCCTCCTGCACACCTCCCACTGGGGATGTGCCCTCACCAAGGTATATGCCCTTGACTGAAATCGAACCTGGGACCCTTCAGTCCACAGGCCGATGCTCTATCCACTGAGCCAAACCAGTTAGGGCTGAATGGGTTACATTTTTGAGAAAAACTTCTGGCAAGTTGAAATCTTCATGTAATTCTAGATATGTGAGAATCAGGCCTTTAGGACTTCTTAATTTCACTCCTATATTATTCCACCCCATTTTGCTGCCTCCTCTAATTTTAATTGAGAATTTTGTATTGTTTTATTTTCTCTCCTTTAGGGTGTTATATACATACTAGTGGCCCAGTGCACAAAATTTGTGCACATTAAAAGGGAATTAATTAGAGGAAATATTTTAATATTACCACTTGTCCTTTCTCTATAATAGAAGTGTCAGAGATGAAAGAAAATTAGTAAAATGTACATGAAAACCTCCCTCCTGTCAGAGTCTGGGGTGCACCGCAGGACCCAGAGTCAAGTCCCTACCCACCCGCATGCACCTCAAAATCACGTGAGACCCAGGCCCAGCTGGCCCACCCCCCCACCCCCGTCCCCGGCCTCATTTCCCCCAGCCTGGCGCGAGGGCAGGAGGGCGGGATGACCATTTGCATATTAGCTCTTTATTATATAGGATATATATGTTTGTTTGTTTGTTTATTTATTTATTTCTGGTTGGCCTTGAGTTTACATTGTACATTTAGAACTGGTCTTAGCCGAAACCAGTTTGGCTCAGTGGATAGAGCGTCGGCCTGCGGACTGAAGGGTCCCGGGTTTTTTAATCTACTTTCAAATATATCTATACCACTCACCTGTAATTCAAGTATCTGATACACAAAGTATTCCCAATTCCTCCCTCTTTTCCCAAGTAATGTGATTTTCTTTCACTTATTCATGTGGAATAATCACCAGAACATTGTTTCTTTTATTGCTTCAGATAAAAGGTGTTTTTTTTTAGATCAATTAAGATTTAAAGAAATAAGACAATATTTTACCTTTATTATTCCTTCTTTGACACTCTTCCTTTCCTAATGGAGAGCCAAAATTCTGACATATAATGTTCCTTTTATCTGAAGGACTTATTTCAACATTTCATTCTGGGCAGGTCAGCTAGCTTGAATGCTTGCATGAATTGCTTTTTTCCTTTTGTCTTTCTTTTTTTTGGTTTGATAAAATCTGCATCTGCCTATCTCCCTTAATTAAAATCTGAAGACTATTTTCACTGGATATGAAATTCTAGGCTGGTGATTCTTTTTCTTTAAATATTTAAAATATTTTATTTTAATCTCTTCTTCCTTGCCTTATGTCTGAGGAGGATTTTGCTATAATTCTGATTTTGTTCCTCTACTGGTAAATGTTCCCTCCACAACAAAGGATTCTTTCAAAATTTTGTCTTTGGTTTCTTCAGTTTAACAATTTGACTAAATGCATCTACTAGTATTTTGGTATTACTTCTTCTTGATGTTGAATGAGATTCCTGGGTCTATAGTTTGGTTTCAATCATTAATTATGGAAGTTCTCAGTCATTATTGGTTCACATGTTTCATCTGATTTGTTTCTCTTTTTTTCTGGTAAATTACATATATATTACACCATTCCATATTGTTTCATAGTTCTTGGATGTGCTCTTCTGTGTGTTTAATTTTTTCCCTCTGCATTTCAGTTTGGAAAATTTCTATTAACTGGCCTTCAAATTGGTTTATTCTTTATTATGTTTATTTTTTAGTCTACTGATGAGCTCATCAAAAGACACTTTATTTTTATTACAGTGTTGCTCGTGTTTTCATTTCTATCATGTCCTTTTGATTCTTAGAGTTTCTTTCTCTCTATTTACAATGTCCATCAGTTATTTTCACATTTACTATTTACATTAGAGTCTTATCATATTTTTCATAGATACTTAATGTCTCCATTTGATAGTTACATATTATGAAGTATATCTTATTCTCTTTATAATAAATTACTTTGTCTCTTTGAAGTATGTTTTTATTTTTCCTTTGTGATTTTTGTTCAAATTAAGGCATGTTTTATTGGGCAATAAGAAGTAGGTAAAAGTTCTTTTAGCATGAGGATATTTGTTAATCTGATTAGAAGTTGGATTGTGTTTACTCTAGCTATAGATATGAGAAGATATTTTCTTGTTCTGTACTCCCCTCTTGTACTTTTCCTTAGGAAAAAAAATCTGTATTTTTCAGCTCTTTTAGTTCAACTTTAGTTGAAAAGTAATTTATTATTTATTATATTGGAACCCTGTTAGACTGGTGCTAAGGCATGACATGTGGAGGAGAGAAGCATACAATAATGTTCTAATTTAAATCTTAGAAGGGCCTGAGATGTTACTGGGTCTGTTTCTCAGAGCTCTGGCCTTCACAAGGATTTCTACAGCGGTCTTCCTTTTTTCCCCCCAGCCTTCTCTTTCTTTCTCTGACTACAGCAAGCTCAATGTATTGAATCAGGAACTCTTTTCCCACTTAGATAAGACAGGAAGATTGAGGGAGCTGGATATAAGAGGAACTTCTTTCCTCCAGTATGGATAAAGTTCTGAAAATCTTTTCCCTTAACACAGTAGTTTATTATGGAGAGACCTCTGGTGATATTTCACAATAGTTACCCTTTTAATCCTTTGCCTGAGTCACAAATGCATCTTTCTTTGTTTCCCATTTATAACATATATAAATTTATAGTGCATAGAGATATTGTGGATGGCCTGGGAATGGTTCTACTACCTCAGGGTTTTGGCTGCAAGTATTAAAATATAGTTAAAACAAAAGTAACACATAAAAATTATTTTAATTATATAAGGACAGACCATGAATGACAAGAACAAGGATGCAGCCCAAATTCTTAAGTAACAGAATGTTGTTTCAGGAAAGAAATCAGGAATGAAATTAAACCAAATCCTTCTCTCCCACCCCCATCCCTCCTCAACACATACACACACACACAGACACACACACAGACACACACACACACACACACACACACACACACGATATATGTACTCCAGGGCACATAGTTTTCTGTATTTTTTTCTCTTCATATTTTTATGCCTATTTTACTCTATCATATTTTCAGATCACAGATATCCCTGTATACTTACTGGTGTCCAAATGAGATAGAATATCCCATTCATACTAAAGGAAGTCTGCTTTGACCAAAAGTGTGCATGTGCATGAGGGTAATGACTCCCAAGATTATTCTCTTATTTGTTAATTCTTTCATTTAGGACAGTAATGGAACATTTTAGAAGGAGTAAATTCATTCAATATTATCAAAACCCATTCACTTATTCTCTGATTTGTTCCAGGGCTGACTGTACTATAGATAGTGGCTATAGAATGGAATCCAATTCTACTAAATTGAGAAATATTTAATAATAGAAACTGAAAATCTCCCCTTGATGATATGGGAAATGGGATAGATCACTGAACACCAGCTGTAATTGGTCAGGGTATTTCAAGACATAACTTCCTTAAGTAATTCAATTTAAGGTGAATTTTGAATAGACATTTTTCCAAAGAAGGCATATAAATTACCACTAAGTATATGAAAAGGTGTTGAACATTACTAAACATCGGAGGAATTCAAATCAAAATCACAATTAGATATCATCTCACACATATTAAGATGGCTATTAGAAAAAAAATAAGTATTGACAAGGATGTGGGGAAAAGGATACCCTTAGGTACTGTTGGTGGGAATGAAAATCAGTGACTACACTATGGAAAAAAGTATGGTTACTCCTCAAAAATTAAAAATAGAACTATCATATGATCCAGCAATCCTACTTCTGGGAAAATAGTCCCAGAAATAAAAATTAATATCTCAAGGAGATATCTGCACTCCTACATTCACTGCAGAATTATTCATACTAACCAAGACATGAAAAAAATATATATGTCCATCAATGAACAAATAGACAAGGAAGCTGTGGTATATGCATACAATGAAATATTATTAATCCTTATAAAGAAGGAAATCCTGCCATTTGGGACAACATGGATAAATCTGGACATTATGCAAGACACAGAAGAAAAAATACTATATGATGCCACTTAAACGAAGGTTGAGATTTCTTAACATGGCACATAAAGTTCTCTCTCATATTTCTATTATTCATTGTTGCTTTAATTGATTTCCAGTAACACGAAAACATTCCTAGTCTTGCTGTTTCCAGTATTCATGCTTTAGTTTATCCTGGCTCACTGCCTGAAAAGCCCTTCCCAGCCCCATACTTTTTTTGTTCTAATACCCAGATTATAGTGTTGT